CATCTACAGTTCCGCGTTTACCCTTTACCCCTCATGATTAGTCTTCGCCCGAATCTCTTATAGCTGCTTCCTGACCGATCGCTTCCTCAATTAAGCGCCAATGACCTAAGCGTTTGTCTCCTTATGGGCACAAAAGCTCTTAAGAGGCAGCTACATGAGTGCAGTGGACCTACCGACGAGGTCACCACATCTGTTACATTTTCTCCATAAGGATTGATATTGCTCTAGCATTAGTGTGGGCATACCGAGGTTTTATTCAGTCAGTCTCGAGGTTTCCTATTGCTCAACATCCAGCCTTCCAGATGATACTAACTGATTCTCCTTTAGTTATTGTATAAATTCCTGCGGGACACAACTTTCCGAGCTGGACGACTTCGGTTCTAACCTTCCAGTCAAAACAGAGAGCTACTACTGATTTTGTCGTGTTACTGTTTAGTATATCTACCCGAACAGGGAGAAGGAAGAGGACCCTCTATTACCGTTCTCTAAACACTATGCAGTGCACTCGATTCCTCTCAGAAAACTTGCCGAAAGATTTTTAGAACCATATTTTGATTAAAGTCGTCGCTGAACGGCGTAGTCACCACATCTGCGTCAAGCCTTAGTGAATGCAGCCTGAAAAAATGTTAAGCCTGAAGGCATATAACTACATATGTTGGCAACAGAATAGGGCTATAGAGAAGCCTGAAGTCGAAACAGGCTCAAAGAAGTTCCTCCGTCTCTCCATACTGCCCAAGCAACCGTAAGTGATAAGTAATATGAAGTAACTCCCTTTGAAGTCGAAGTAATCGAATCCTTTTTATGACGAGCACCCTTTGCAATCTGTCCGACATCCTATCGTATAACCCCCCATCCATCCGCACGAGGGTAATTTGTCACCATCGCACCAATAGCAGTCGGTTCCCATCCGACAGCCACATTTGCGCGAACATCCCTCCTTGTCGGGAAGCTTACACTATCGCACTGAGTTCCATTTTTTTAATTCGTCATCCTGTACAGTGATTTTTTTGTGCTTCCTTTTTAACACCAGTTTTGTGAATATTTTGGTCCATTTATTTTCATACGGACCCAACTCTAAAAAATGACTGGATTGGATTTTAATTAGTTGATAAGTGCTTTGAATCCAATGAACTAACCTGATTAAGCAGTTAAAGAAACTCTCTGGTTCAGGGATCAGGCAATCCTGCTGGAAGCTTAAATTGAAGCCCTTTTTCGACATAAAGTCCTGTCGGAGCTCTGCGATCGTTGCAATTCCAGCGAACTAATTGGAATTATTCGGACAGCAAGACGATTTCTTCAGGTTTTGTGTGCACCTTTTACTCCTTAAAGTTTACTGGATACCTTCTACAATGTTAATTTTCAAAAATCAGGTCAATCTAAACCAGCAGCATATCCATAGGTATCTCCTCAGCCGTTTCTGTATACCAAACATAGGAAACCATATCGGAAAGTGTGCGAATAGTCGGCAAAGAAACTTCCATCTTTGGACGTAGTGCGATTCGATGCGATTGTGTTTTTCGATACAGTATCCCTAGCTTTCCAGTCAGCTCGAACTTGAGTCATGAAAACCCAATCGCCACTGTATCGATAGTTTTCACGGAATGGAACGCTTGAGTGAATCCTTATTTCCACCCTCTTGTCAAACATACGTGGTGCCATCGGTTGACTCTCCAGGGAATCGCGGCACGTCCTTTGACATCTTCACATTGCAATGTGACGCCGTCTATTGGCGATCCAAGCGGCTCCCTTGAAGACAACAAATTTAATCAAGCCAGACGATGGTGATACAATCTCGCCGACGTCGTTGTCGTTATCGCATAACACTTGAGGAACGTCCTCGAACGCCATGCGCCTGAACCTGATGTCATGTCATTCCCATGAAAAACGTCCCATTCTATGTCCTGACCATCAGCTAGCCTATGAACGCACATTGCAGGGACGTCCATGTTCACGATGACTTCTTTTGTGTTTCCTCATTATCGTAGCGCAGTTGTCGCTAGACCAAGTCATTAGCGGAGCAGCTTTCTTCTGCCCCTTCTGTTATTCCTACGACCTGCCTTCCTTAGATCCATTCCCTTACTCTTCCCCAGCTGGATGCGCTCCTCCCTATCCAGGCATGTTTCCATTTACTCCATTCATCAGTTCTAATGTTTAACAGCAAATATGGCCATCCTGCAAGGCATAGCGGTACAAAAATTACGCTCTCTTTTCCTTTGACGTCTCCATCTTCTAGGTGTTGTTTCGAAGTTGGTTCTGCTCATTCCCTATTTCTGGAATCCTTCTCGTCACTTTTCTCTCTTCTTATTTGTAGTATTCTTTCTCTCTGTATTTCTTACTTCTTGCACAACTATTCTCTCGGAACCTGAATGCATGCCTCCCCTTCCGTCTTCTTCCACCTTTGCAGCATGCATTTCTGCTTCTTGCTGTTTTCATGTGATCCGAACTAATCCATTGTCATGAAAGGTTTGTATAATTTTAGATGACTTCCTTTTACATTGCCTTCGCTCAGATTCTTTCTTCTTCCTAACGATCGCTCCATGAAGCTCTTTTTCCATCAGCTCTCATGGGTTTTTCCCTTCTCAAAGGTGGACTTTGATCAGACTTCACATATCCTTCCAATTTTATTCTTTGGCCGTTTCATCCAGCAAACTATCAGCCTCTACATTTACCCTCGTTTTTTTCACCTCGGCCTTTTATTCTCCTTGCTTTGCTAATCTGCCTTAAACTCAGTTTTTCAACACCTTTTTTGATTATGGCCCTTTTTGAGGGCATAAGGCATTCCTCAGCTAAATAGTTGACATGACCTTGCACCTGTACCACTTATTAGCCTCAATCAAATGTGTGATTACCTGTGCTGTAATCCTTAGTGAAGGTGTGACAAGATTGCGCAAACAGATATCGGATACTGTAGCCGGATGGTTTATACGCAATCCATACCGTGGACCATGTTTATAAGCTGCCATAATTAATGGATAGATTTATGAGCTGGTCATATATACTTTGCCGAGGCATATGTGCTCAAAATTTCTACGATGGTACAGCGGCAGAGTCCGTACCTGCCTGATACTCGTTTTGCAGCTCTCTGTAGATTTGATTCTATCCATTATGAAGGGAAGCCCTATTCAACATTCTTCCAGGTTACTGTTGCTCAAATTTACAAGTATCATGAGGTAAAACTACTTTGGAGAATGAAAATTTGCGAAAGAAAGAAGATTTGGTGGTATGAATCAAAACGGTAGAAGTTGGGAAATCGCACATTACTCATCCCAACACAATTAAACACCCGCGGGTCAGTCGATTGGTAACACTGCAGTACTGACCCCAACCCGAAAACCCGAAGAGTATACGGTAAATTGTGGCTAGCAGTTTTTTGAAGAGCTGAAAATCGGAGAAATGTTCCTTTTAAACGCATCTGATCGTGAAGACGTGATGATAGAACCTTTGGGATTGAGCATTTCTATTTTTGATGAGACCAGGCAATCTACAATCATTCAGAGGGCTAATGCTTGAAGCAGTTCTTGCCTCTGCATTGACTTACAAACCATCGCTTTCACTTTTCCAAACTGGCCTGATATCAAATCATCGTGTCAGGAGATAATGTAGGCTAATTGTTCACGGCGGTCAGGGGGTGGGAGGCGAAGAATTGGTAACTCGGACCATACGAGTGCTAAGTGCGCCACTCAGCACTGCTCCATATCTGCCCATGAAGAAAAGGTTGTTACCAGAAGTCTCCACTGATTCAGCATAGGAGCAGAAGTAAGAGAAGGGTCTGTTGGATGTGGAATAGGCCACCGCTTCCATTTCAACTAATCTGAAAGCTGACGAGCATGGTCTAGCTGATTGGAAACGAATATTTGTCCGTGGAAAAATATTCAAGGGGAAAAACCCAAAAAATTTTACGTCAAAATTCACAGCTCCTATTAGAGACCTATGGGCGATTTCAGGGGCGCCCCACAACTTGTTTTTTATTGTAAAGTTGTCGTCGAGCAAATTTCCGTCTTGACCCATAGCCAGTAAAGTATCCCTTACTGAGTAATTCCCTGCTGTTCCATTAATCATACCTACCAATTAAATCCTATTCGTTCCGTTGATTGTACTCCAACAGAAATCGAGAGTAATTAAAGGACAAAGCTACCGTAACAACCAACTAACTCAAATCGAACGCATCTTATTTTCCGGACAATCCTATCCTCATCGCATATTGATAGCTATGACTACCGTACACCAATCTGCACAATGTAAGTAAATGGAAATTACATCTCCAGGAAAATGAGCATGTACATGCGGTTAGAGCCGCGATGTGGATAATGTATGCAACTATGCCAAAGGGGGTGTATACCAGGTGAATATTGTTGAGAGATGTGAGGCCTCATTTCGTATGTAAACGATCAACGGCGCGGACCACAACACAGCGGGAGTCACACTCGTCCCGCTGTTGGCATTGGTGTTGAGGCCTGGGAAGAGCACGGGGACGGTTGTGAGTCGAGAGAGACTTGCCTGTCATGTGATCTTCGACCTTTGTGTGAATTTTTTGCGGGATTTCTTCCCCACTCATTCAGGTCTTTCTCTTCCCTTCAACTTCGGTTTGAGACCTGTGGGCGAGACATTTTGTCATTCTAGAGCTGACCTCAAGACTGTGTAGTGTCCCCAGGTTATAAAGAAGGTCTCTGTTGAGGTCCTGATGTCCATGAAGATAGACTGGAGGTAACCTCTCCAGGATTAACTATCTCTGAACAGGTAGCTTGATTTTTTCCTGTGTGGAACTCCCAGATGGGAAAAATGGCTTGGACCGCTCTCTGAGGAGCAGTTCAGTTCTTCATTCTTCATCTGGCTTTGACCCCTGAAGTGTTTCGATCCTTTCTATTTTGCCTTCCGTTGCAATTCGCCGTATCTGTAATTTACCACCGTAGAACAGATCACTACAGTGCAGTGGTCTTATTTCAGAATGGAGGGTACGGCAGCGAAGAAAGCGCGAGTTTGGAATCCAGCCTTAGACAACGACGTGATCAAGGACAAACTCAATTCCGACCATGACCAGACTTCAAACAACACGCCCATCGACTTTTCACGTGCAACCAACCCTTCTTTACCGCTTTTAATACAGGTAATTTGTTGTTCCTAGTCATTTCTCGTTTCCTCCCTTTTTACCTGAAATGCCTTCTTTTACGGCTTCCATACGTCCTGCTTCCTA